GCACACCTTTTGTCCTTGCCTTTGGGGCTTAACAGATATTTACGTCTGTCCCCTGAGCTGCCTCAGGGAAAGCAGAAAACACTTGCAAACATATATGGGATGTTTCTCGGTGTGCATGTTAACCTAAGAGTAATGCGGACAATAGGCCTTGTTCTCCATGACTTAAGTTATCACTTGCACACTGCCCACAGCTCTTGAATCACTCATACACACATGCACTGTGTGCTTCTTGTGTGTTTGCGTGTTTGTGCGTACAAACTCCGAGGAGCCATTTTCAGCCTGTTGCTTAGGCTGGCTGTAATTGTCCTGGGAATCGTCAGCTCTGTGTAATAAATCACTCCTCTGGTACACTGTGTTCTCAACTCTGGGATGGCCGCTGTGTGCGTGTAGTGTGCATGCTTAACATATCGTGAGCTGAGAAAGAACATAGCTAAGGAATAATAGGGGTTGAAAATTACATTTACGAGGAAAAAAAAAAAACTGCAGCTCTCTGTCTCAACAGGCTTTTGTAGTTCGCCAGAGGCAAACCTCATTTTTTTATGCTATGTGAAAACCCAACCAATGCATGTAGTTGGTGTACGATGAGGATGCAAATTAATTTCATATAGTCCTGTTTGTTTGCACCTTTTGTTGCTCATTCTTGTGCTTCTTTCAATTTCCCCTTTCAGCCTTGCATGTCCAGACAGTAAAGAAAACAAGACTTAGCGTTTAATTTTCTCATTCAGGTTTTAATGCTGAAGGATTTGATGTTTGATTTGATGTTGCAGATGAAGCTACAGCAGCCGCAGCATCCAGTGACTGCAGATTATGTCAGGCTAAAATAATTGTAATAAAATTGACACAGATAATGAAAAAGGTGTCATAACTTATTTTTCTTTGCTCACTGCAGCGTAAGGTCTGTGCATGTGTGCTTCATCGTTGAAACTAGCGGACAACACTCATTAAAATGTTACATTTCTAGCTAATGCTACAACTTCACTCAGATGCTTCAGCGTACAGCTGATACTTCTGCTAGCCAGGGTTGGCGGGCAATTTGATTCAAAATATATTGCACATTGTATCAGGCAGAACTTAGAAATTGTTAGATTCTGGTGTTTTGCCAGAGTGACGTTTGTCGTTTCATCCTGTGTCATATTTAGAGTTATTACTTGCTTCCTTATAGCAGTGCTGATCTCTAACCTTGTTAGTGTTCGCTGATCTTTCCGCTATCCCTTCCTCTCTGCTCTTATACCTTTTATCTCTTTACCTGTCTTTCCATCCTTGTGTAAAACTGTAATCGTCTTGCCAGTTTAAATACAATCTGGCAGACACCAGAAGAAACCAATCTTCTCGCTGTTAACAAAAGGCCAGTGGCGCTATCAGGTGCCTCCTTACAAATTTGTTCAATGAAAACAAAAGTGAAGCCTTTGCCCTGGATCTCATCTCCAATATTACACACCCACAATGGATCCCTCTGGATTCAGTATAAGATCAAGGCCCACAACCCATTCAGGATTCTCTCTCGGTCTAGTCTCGGTCACATTGAGAGAGAGAGAGAGAGAGAGTGAGAGAGTGAGAGTGTGTGTGTGTGTGTATGTGTGTGTGTGTGTGTGTGTGTGTCTCTGCAGTCCAGAGCTTTCCACTGTTGCTCAGAGCAGCGTGGGGTTCGTTGAGTTTCTAGGGGTTGTTGGGTTCGTGGTGCTGCTGAGAGCTAGTTTGCCCAAAGTCCTGTCCTTGAACTGTGAAAGAAAATGCTGCTAGGGAAAGGCTTTTCAGACTGACTGACTGCAATAGTTGAAGTCAGTCCAGCTGAATGGAATCCAGGCAAGACAAATCCTGGGCTACTCGTAAGTATTACACAGGGTCCGCCTGAAAGGGGATGTTAAAGTGGTACATCACATAAAGGGTTTTCTTGTCACTTTTAATCTCTAACACTTGATTAGGCCATGGTTAAACTTTCAAAACGACTTCATAGCAAAGAAGTTGATGGACCAAATTGGCCCCGTGTCATTACTCTTAAGGGCTTCATGCTTCTACCAACATTTCTTAAACTGACAGTCATTGGGGTGGAAATTTGTGGGGGTTTTCTCAAGGTGAAATAACAAAATACTTGACATGTTAGTGAAGCAGTCACACACCCAAGGGAGTGGAAGTATCTAAACTAGAAGGAAAAATTCCTTCATTCAGCCCTGTATGGCTGCTGTAAACTGAACTGCCCCACGGGACAAGAGCTGTTTTCTATCAGGAGATCCAGGCTGTAACCAGAGGCCAAGCTATCTAGCTAGCAAAGACTTCTGTATTCAATTAGAGCTAAAGCAGAGAGAATGCTAAAACAGTAGGCTGGCATGTCTGATGCAGGCTAGCTCCATGCCGGTGTGCACACGCAGCTTGTTTGTTTATGCGTGCGTGTGCATTTAAAGACTCTGTAAACCGCAGTATTCACAAACAAGGACAAAAGAATGTTATAGAGTTTTTCCTCTCTTGTATCTTTCTCTCTACCTCCTCACCTCTTTCCCACAACAAGTTCCCCTTAACGCTAGCACAGAGAGAAGGAGTGTGTGTGTGTGTATGTGTGAGTGCCAAGCAGCAACTACCATAGCCAAAAGCTGAAGGCAATGTGGAAGCGCCTTTAGATAAGGCACAAGTAATGGTTGCTAACTGTTTGCCAAAAGTGCAAAAGAGAAATATTCACACAACACTTTTTTTAACTCGCTAATTTGTGCCTTGGTGGTGGTTTAGAAAATTAGTTTCATAAAGGAGATATATGTTTAGAGGTGCCTTTGCTTGATTGACAGGTGTCTCATCCTATTAGCTTCAGTTACAGATGGCAGTGGGCAGCAGATTGAAATCAAAGCTTCAAAATGTGCCTCTCGGGATAAACTATGCTCGACTTCACTGACCGTATTTCTGTGGTATGTCTAAGTGGACGTTGGCCGTAAGGTGCTCACTACTGGCTGACCTACAGCAGTTCTTCACTGGCAAGCTTTATGTCCTCATGTACCAACTAAAGCTGCCAGCTGAAGAACTGTTGTGGTCGGCTCTTTCCTGCACTGAAGACACGTCCATCCCGAGGAATGTGACACGCGGATAACGACAGAATCAAATCCAGCTTCTGACCGTCGTAGAAAAATAATGAGCACGGTCCCCTCACTGCGTGAAAACCCTGTCACTTAATGCAGCATGTTCATGTGTTCCGATTCATACCATGACACCTGCTGTGTCATGTAACAAAAGTATTGCATCATGGGACTTATCTCCGTCAGTTTTTTTTTTTTTTTTTTTTGCTGTTATTTACTGCTGTAATTTTTTAAAATTTTGTATGAATTTTTTAATAACATTAAATATGATGAGTGATGTAACATAACATAAAAATGCTGCAGTGGGACAAAACACTTGACAGCTTTTTCTTATTGTTATAGATTCATATTTTTATTATTCAAGAGAGAAACAGACAAGGAAAAGCAACTCGCCTCTTGTCATTTAGGCTTAGCATTTATGATAGCTGTGCAGTTTACTGTTTGTTTTTAATGGTGTGTCATATAATGTTTTACAGTGTTGGCACAATTGTAAGTTTCACCTGGCTTGCATCATCCCAAAAACACATTTTAGTCAAGCATCAGCAGTCATATTCAAGTCTTTTTTTTTTTTTTCTTACTTGTTAAAATTTTAAAGGAAAACAAACATCTGAAATGGATTTCTTAGCAATTCAGAATTTTCCAGTGAAATTTCACTTGAAGATAATCTCTTCAGAGTTGACATACAAACATCTGAAGGAGTTTAGAAACTGTCCACTAATGCTGGGAGCCCAGTTGATCAGTAATCACAGCTGAAGCTAATAAAGCTGAAGGCTGAGATTCATCAAAGCCCTGACAAAGTGGCTCTACTTTTGTCGTTATCATTGTTGATACTTTTTTTTAGGAAAAATTCTCATATGCTAGTGGTGATAGTGGAAAGTCACTTTTATGAGATCTGTATTTGTGTGCTTAATGAATAGTGGGAACCCCCCCCCCCCCCCCCCCAAACTAATAACACTTAAATAAATGGATTGACAGCTGAGGTCTGCTGTCATCTACATGCCTCTGCTTTTAGCTTTTACTCTATGTCATGAAAGACATATGACTTTTTCTCCTCTGTAATGTCACGCAGAAGAGCACACGTAGAAACACACAGACAGACATCTTGTCTGTGACCCTCAGCACTCACAAATCAAACTTCAAGAGAGAGGGCAATGCCCCGAGCAGGATATGAGTGCGAACGTGTCCCTTTAAAAGCTGCCAGCCAGAGTCGAACAGAGGGAAGGAATGTTCTGGGGCCTTAACAAAACCAGATGCCCCGGCTTACTCTCCCTTTGCACACATGCTCTTGGCTGCCTTCTTTCACTCCTCGAGCTCTTACTTAACACCACAGATGGAACCAAGAACTGGGCAGACTCCCTCCTCAGCCTGTCTGAAGTACATCATCTTCTTTATCAACTACCTTAAATGTGGTCTGGCTCCTAGTTCCCTGTCCGTGCCCCAATCTCCTTATCTTCTTGTCTGCTCCACTTTACCTCCATGTCCTTCTGCCTGGCAGACCTTTTCCTCATCCCCTTCCACCCTACAATCCTCCATCACGCCAGTGACAGACAGACACACACACACACACAAACGGGAAACACCAACATGGGATTATTCCACTCTCTCTCCTGTACATCCTCTTCAAGTAGCACTGCCAGTACCCCGCATTAATGCACCATAACAGTGCATATAAGGGTCACGCCTTGACCTTGTGTGCTCTGTAGATTTGTTTCAGGTCAGTGACTCGCCTGCCTGATCCACTCCCAGGGAATCGGCCTGTGAGTGCATTAAGAGATTGTTGAAGGAGGGATGCATGAGACTGAGATGCATGAGAGGAGAAGCACCTGCAGTAAGACGACTCCACCTGACCCAACAGGATGTGACCATTGAGTTTTCTGCTACTATGTATTTCGATGCCTGAGTATGTGCATCTAACCCTCATTTCCTCCCTTTTTCCCCACCCAGATGTGCCAGACCAGTGCCACTAAACTCGGGTGGCCTGTACCTGTGCCTCTGCCAGCTGCTGCGCCAGCTGTGCAAGGTGAGAAAGCAGAACAGCATCACAGAAAGAGACGAACAGGCAGCTGCTGCAAACAGAGAGGAACATCATCAAAGGAGTGCTGAGCCAGCCTACACAGCCCCAATCATAATATATTTATTATTTACAGCAAAGACCTTATTATTAAGTGTCAAGCATTTGAAATTGGAATTGAGGCGGTATAATTTTGTACTGTGCTACACTGAGAAGAAGAAATGTGTTATTAGTAAAAAAAAAAAAAAAAATTGTGTGTTTTGTGCATTTTAAGCTTTTGTAACATCTCAGTAAAACTACTGAATTGAGATCTCTTAATGTTGATTAACAACATGAAGGTCCTGGATGTCTCTTTTTACAACATTATCACAAAGATTAAATCAACATTAAATTACATCACTGTATAAGTACTTTGTTTTTGACATTTGTCAGTCTCCTTGTGTTTGACTGGAGCTTCAGTCTTACATGTTAGGTGCTCCAGGCTCTGGGCTTATGGACTTACCTAACACACTTCCTGTTGGAGACATACATTATACTGCCAGGGGGAACATAAACAATAATCTTCTTAAGGTGTGAGCTGCTCTGTGAGCAGTAATAGCAAGCCCTTACTCAAGCAATTTACCGTATCTGAACATGAGATTGTGACCAGTGCTGCACCACAATATGGTATTGTAGCGCAGTTATTTCCTCAGGTACCTGCCACTTAAACATGGACTAAAACGATCACAATGTTTATGTTGATTTTGGTTAAAATTCCAAATCACTGTAAAAGCACAAAGCAGGCTGTGCACATGGACTTAAATATAGAAAAGCACAGGTGAAGTGAGGCCAATAATATTAACAATGACTCGTTTAGGTGTCACAGTAATCTGTGCTTTTCATGCTATGACATTAAAATGTCTGCAGTACAAAAAGATCTATCGTACTTAAGTTAAAGTTTGCTGTTATGTAACCAATACTTTTTTTTTTTTTTTACTAATAGCAGATTTTGCACTATTGCAATGTTTTAATCAACATCAGACAGGCAGCTGCTGAGGGTTAGTTAGTGCACAAACAGCTCAGCAGGCTATAATCTGTTTCAGCTATTGAGGGGCTGCTTGAACTCAGTGAGAGATAAGACATCCAGAAAGAGGCAGAGGAAAAGCAGATCCTATGATTTTTTTCACATCTGTGAAGACAAAAATACACCAATTTAAATAAGTAGTCAACTGAAGGGCCAGGGTTTAAAGCTTTAAGTCTCCTCTCGACTTCAATTTTGTTCAATTTTGAAGCTTCTTTTTTTTCCCCACCCTGGGGAATAGTTTTTTGGGGGTTTTTTGTTTGTTTCAATTTCTTCTTAATGTCTCACTTTAAATTTTTGATCTGAAATGCTATCAAAAGTCAGAGATTTACTTAGACAGAAAGGACTCACTGGGACAGTTCTTTCTCCAAGGACAGGGTTGCCAATGCCCTTTGGAATATGTAATACCATCTTTGCACAGCGTATATTCATCAGACATCAGGCCACTGACTCTGACCCCTGGCTGTTAGTAGATTAACTTCATCTGTTCAAGTTCATCTCACCCTCGCAGAGAAGGTCAGAGAAACTTCCTGCAGTCTATTCGAGTAGATAAATGTAACTCTGTTCTCTATCTGCTGTGGAGATGCTCTCTGAGGACGTCTATATGAGATCTGATCTAATGTTCCTTATCACTTATTCGTCTCATAGCGGTGCTTTCAGGGTAATGGCTAATGGAGTGATAGGTGATGTGTTTTAGGAATACTTTGAAATAGAAAGGCAGAGAACAAAGAGCTAATGGACAATATGCATGTGTGTGTGTGTGTGTGTGTGTGGTGTGTGAGTGAGTGTGTGGAGAGAGAGAGAGAGAGAGAGAGCAGGAATGAAGAAATTGCAAATGAGCAGAGGGTTTTCTGAGACTGAAGTATTCTCTGGTGTAGTGTCTGCTGTACAGCCCTTGTTCACCTCTTAAGTCAAAGCAGGAAGAAGCTCCAAGGCCAGGTCTGAAGAGGTTTACAAACCTCCCCTAAATTCTTCCCTGTGGGTGAAATCATGTGAAAGCTGCTTAGGCAGATTATCCCTGCCTCGACGGCAGCTGGCAGTGAGATCCTTGGGAGTGCACCTGACTCAATACTGTTGGTGACGCAACCGCAGCCTGTGCCGCAGCGTGCTCCCACAATCCTCCATGACCTTTAGCCCCAGAGGGAAAAGTGCATCTTGTGGCCTAAAGCACGCAGGAACTAAATCAGGAGATCACACACAAACACACACACACACACACACACACACACACACACACACACACACACACACACACACACACACACACACCCCGCACTAATGCACTACTCAACACAAAATTTAGAAATGTTTAATCTGTTACAAGTGAAGCTTGGTAATCAGATAACTGGATTGATCAGGGATGTATTTTAAGCTCTTTAGGTTGTGTAAGTATAAAAAAATAATGAACTTTTGGTGTCTGACCTATGTTTAACCTTAAATTTTCATTATTGAAAATTTCTTGTATTATCAAATAACACTGTGTGTACCGAGTAACCGATTTCCTATTTGGTTCTATTCTTTGGTTTATCGACAGCATTCAAACATGTCGGGTACAGGATGATATTTGTCTGGACTTTTTCCATCATAATCCTTCCTGGTGTTTATAAAGACACCCAAAAAAAGAAATCATATCACAAAAAAACACCAGCTGTGAAACAAGTTCCACTGCACTGTTTTCTGATTTGGGAGGTGATAAAGTGAATAGACACATACTGTGAATCTATAAACTCAAACTCTTGTTTCTATGGTTTCAACTCATATTTTACTGTGACTTACAAAATCAAAAGTGATTATGTGAGTTTGTTACATTACAGGAAAAGTGTAATCTGCCAGGTGTCACTTTTGATGGCGACATCTTATAGTGAGCTGTACTGTGTGTTGCCTATAATGTGGTCTGCTATAAGATATGAAAAGTCTTGATTTATCTGTGGTAGCTCCTTGAGGACATTTAAAATCCGGGGAAGTGAAGCTTATCCACATGTGCTAAAATGAGATGCAAAGCGTCATTTTTTTTTTTTTTAAATTAGGTGTAGGCTGAAATAGAAGAATGGTCTCCCTCTCCAAGTGTATTTTAATGAGGTCCCAAGTGCACTGTCACCTCATGAAAACACAACGCTCCAATAAAATCTATGTTTTATTATTTTATCCAAGTTTTATTAAAAATGAAGGCACTTCTGGTTGAGTGCTTCACACTTGGAGCCTTTGCCAGGTCGAGCCAAGGAAAAAAATATCAGTGGCAGAGCTTTGGTTAGCTGAAGTGAGAAATACAATTTTTTTTTTTTCAGCTGATGCAGAGGTAAACTATGGTGTCTGGAGCTGCTGGCTCATTGTTAAAAAACTACAATTTCAGGGACCATTACACAACCCACAAAGCTAAATATAAGAAATGCTCTGTCTGGACGACAGCTGTACAGTTTTGATTTGAAAAATGAAAAAAAAAAAAAAAATTCTGCTGTGAATCACATTAAATAGAACAGAAAAAAAGCAAACAGGGAGTAGCAAGCAAGATAAGTGATAAAAGAGACGTAAGCGTAAAGTTTTTTCAGAAAATTGTTGTCATTGTTTTGGCAATGTAACAAAGTGTAAAGCTGCAGGGAAACCAAACTAAGAAAAATGAAACGAGCACTCAGAAAAATGTAGAAATCATTAGTGATATATTAATATTACAAATATATACTAATACAGCCTATTTATGTGTAAATTGATTATATTTTTTACTCAGTTTTAAAAAAAAATGTTATGGTCTACAGACACATTAGATACTATGTGAAAGCCATACATCAGCATTTTCAACTGGTTCTCTCAGCTTGTCTCTACATGATATCTAAATAAAGTTACATTATTCACAGATGAGTAGCCAGAGTAAAAAAAAAAAAAAAAAAGAAATGATTTTTTTTAAATAACTACATTGATTTAATGGGAGTACTCACTTGCTTGATATAGTAAAATGTACAAAATGCACAAAAATGTCAGCAACCCGCTCATGAGAATTGAGAAGCAATTGTAGAAATGTCAGCTGTTGAAATGTGATGAGGCCTGGTTTTTCTCTGCTGTTTCTCTCAGGGTTGTATAGTCTTGTTTTAAATGCAGATTTATCACCATGGTCTTCTGTTTTGTCTCATGCAGCTGTTTTATGGGGGGACTGCCCTGCTTTGATAAATGGACAATGAATAAAGTCATTTATTGAAACAATCAATAACTGTCTTCGAGGGTTTTGTCGTATTTCACTGTACTATGAAGATGACCATAAATCATACGAGGACCTACTGTATAAGGGGCATAGCACTGGCACCAAAAACTGTTCAGCCTTCGTATAAAGCTAAAGAAAATTTATCTAACTAATAGCTGTTTATTTCTTCATGAATGTTTTGAACGTGGAAACACACAGGTGTAAATCCACTCAGGTGTGAGTCTAACAGGGCTAAGTTAAGCAGAGGTTGGAGTAGCACCAAAGCTTTTTAGCCATTGTATCTAACAGAATAGTTCTCTAATACTAAATCAAAGATAAAAAAATGTATTTTAATGTGTCACAAAAAGGTTTCAAATCTGATCTGAAACCAATGTACAGCCAAAGATTGAGAGATCATACAAAGTAGCCTACACCCACTCACCACTGTGCATAAGCCAGAACGCATCCTGTCTCAAAGGGGCCCCTACCCGTGATGTGTTCTACACATTGCAGCCGATACTTGGCCGGCACTGAGCTCCCAAAATAGACGGTAGTTCCAGATAGGTGGGCTGTGAGGCGAAAGAGAGAGAAAGTGGGAAAGGGAGTGAGAGTGGGACGCAGGACAGTGGTAACAAAAGGAAAGAGGACCAGTATTGTGTGTCTGCAGTGTGCTGCCTGCACCCTTCACTTCCAATCTGTGTGTGGTGTGGTGTGAGGTCGTGTGCTGTGTGGGTTGTGTGTGTGACTGTGCTTTGTCCGATGATTGGGTGTAGGATTTCTTATTGGTGGTCGATTGTAGTGCCATTGCGTAAGGTCACAGTGACTCTGCTCAAAGGAAAGTGATGACTCTAGGTAGACTAACGTCAGCGCTACGGTTGTGGATGTAAGAGGAACAGAGGGGAGGCTAAAATACACCCATTTGTTTTTTTTTTTTTCATTGGGGGGGGATGGCTGCGAGTGACGAGCGGGAAACGCCTAAGCCTGCAAGGAGACGTTCTGTCAGTAGGTGCTCTTGTCAGTCTGGTGCTCTTCAGTGAAGGCCTATTATGTAATTCTTCGGAAAGTCTGAGCAGTAGTGCCCAGACAATCTTGTTAAACGGCTGTGCTAGGCGGGCACGCGCACACACACACACACACACACACACACACACACAC